CTTCAAACCATTTCACGTCTATACTCTATTTCCTGGTCGTATTTTTGCAGTTTCTGTATTAGCTTTGAACTACCACCTAAGGTCTGTCTGCATTTCCCCTTTCTTCTGCTATGGCTTTACAATCATACTCATGAACTACATCTAGGAATTGTCCGTTCAGGAGGTTTGCACAAATGTCAAAGGTCTGTACCCGTCTTTAACTCTTGACTTGGATTATGAATTACGTCGTTCGTCTATGCTCAATCCTGGCGAAGAGCTCTTTATAAAAAATCATCTGAGCCAGTCACGTACATCGTCTTGATAGCAATTAAAGCACTAACCTGCAGTGACTTTTAGTCACAGTTCTTACAAGAATATAAACTAGTGGTCGTTGGAGGAGGTGGCGTGGGAAAGTCCGCACTCACCATCCAGCTCATCCAGAGCCATTTCGTCGATGAGTATGATCCTACAATTGAAGGCTAGTATTGCGTATATGTCTACGGTGTCTGGAAATCATCTAACAGTATTTTTACAGACTCTTACCGCAAGCAATGTGTTATCGATAACGAGGTCGCTCTCCTTGACGTGCTCGATACAGCTGGACAGGAAGAATACTCGGCTATGAGAGAACAGTACATGAGGGCAGGTCAGGGCTTTCTCCTGGTTTATTCAATAACATCACGATCATCTTTCGAAGAAATACGGACGTTCCAACAGCAGATTCTACGTGTCAAGGATAAAGATTATTTCCCCGTCATTGTGGTCGGCAACAAGTGCGATTTAGAAACAGAACGACAAGTTTCACAACAAGGTACACCGTATTCTAAGAAGTATTGTGATTTGCCACGTTCTAACTGGATTCTTTTTACAGAGGGCAAGAGATTAGCGAGCTTCTTCCAATGCAGTTTTATTGAGACCTCCGCCAAGCAACGGATTAATGTTGACGAGGCGTTCTACAACCTTGTTCGAGAGATCCGACGATATAATCGTGATCAAGCGGCCGGCGGTCCCAATGCTGGTCCCAAAGGCGGAAATGGTACTACTCCTGGCAATAGACAATCAGCGGAGCGGAAAAGCAGTAGTAGCGGATGCTGTGTAATCCTCTAGGTGGATTGCTTATGCGGTATTATTTTGGTAAATCTGTACGTTTTCCTTTGAGAAACTTCATGTCGTTCTCTCTCCCTTGATCTTGATTCCAGAATAATTGGACGGCGTCGGGATGTTTGATTGAGATGGGTCTGGTAATTTACTAGCCCATATTTTCTTGCGATTTTCTTTCCAATGTACCTAATTCTATCAATGTGACCTTGCTGTATACTTGGCCTATGTATTGGCCGTTGATGGAAATGGTTGTGCGCCTATTATTTGGTTAAGAAGACACCTCATGCAGATGCAATGTGTTTATTCTACCGGCCTTTTGGGTGCCAATTCGCTGTATTATCATAGTGCTCGTATTCATTGGCATGTAATAATTGAAAATATATTATACTCGTTTAATGCGATACTGTGGATCTAATGAATTTTCAGACATGTGAGATGAGATTCAACCCAAGGATGTCATATATTAGAGGCTAATCAGACCTTGGATCTGATGTGGCTGTGCAGAGCACGATCGGCTAGAATATGGCGTATTTAGCAACCCTCATCGCATTCTATGCATGAATATGTCTACCGGCTACAAGTTCGGAATATGCCATTTACATCGCCGTGCACAATTCCTTTCCCTACCATAGCTTTCCCTTGGCAGCCATTTTTTCTCCCACGACACTAATCCGTCGGACAAGTGATGGCGTCTATTTTCGACGTTCCGCCGCGTCGAACGCAACCTCAGCCTGTGACCAAGATCAACTTTGATCCGAAAAAACCGGTGCTAACTACTCGGGAATATTCAGATTTATTTTGGTACACGGATGCGCAGCTTACCAAAAAGGACCGACGGGATATTGTCAGTGAATTGAACCAAGAATGGGTTTACCGAGTTTTCGGCAGTTTTGTAGGCGGAATAGGCACTGCGATCGTGAGTAAGTGTGTACTTTGGGCCGCGCGTCTAAGAAAGATGGCTGATGCTGGGTGTAGCGGCTATTGCAATGAAACGGTGGTTTCCGGCCACTAGAATGTCTATGACTGCGTTTGGAGCTATTGTCGGTACTGAGATTGGGAACGAGGTAACACCTTGGGTTTGCGATCTATTCGTCTAATCGCTGACGTTGAATGTTAGGCCGGATACGCCGTAGCATACAGACGCGCGATGCGTGACTTTGAAGCACGTCCAAATTGCCGCACAATTATCCGTCTAGTCGACTTCCGCCCGACTCTGGGACTTTGGATCAATTACTACTCCAACGGCAAGCCAGAGCCGATTCTCCAGACTTGGTGGAGAGATTTTCAGCTGGGACAGATCGGTAACAAGAGGGACATCAGCGATGACAAATTGGAGGACGAAGAGAATACGGCACCGGACGAAGTCGCGCTACCGCCTTCCGCGCGACCGGAACCTGTTGCGCCGTCATCCTGGGGAATTCCCGTGCAGTCACAGGTCTCCACGGAAGAAACGCGGTCAAGTTACAACAAGCCCTCGAGGAACGGGAATTCCCGTCGCGATTTAGATGCGGAATTTTACAGGGACGAGAATGTTGAATCGCAAGAGGAATTTGACAAAAAAGTCGACATGGAGCGACGGGGCGAAGATCAGCCAGATGATTTTATTGCCAGCGAGCGACGGTATTCGCGGTCAAAGTACGACTAACCTGTAAATATTACCTAAATATTTTGTATTACTGATTTAGTATACGACCTGTAAATATCATTGAATTTTCCTCTTAATCAAAACTAAAACTCCAACTCGTCCGTTTTCTTCTCGTCTGTCTTTTCGTCTATCATAACCGGAATACCCCACTTTTCTATCTTAACCCCGCTTCTACCGACTTTGAACGCGTAGTCCATTTGGCGCACGAACATGCCACCACGCTCACTAACTATTGGCACTTTCAGAACGTCAATAAAACCTTGATATTTGTTCGCACTATCCCCACCACCAGTATCTGGCGGAGGAGTAGGAATGATCTTTATCACTCCATCCACCACATTTTCGATCCATGGAAGCAGCACACTGTTTCCGCTTCCTGGTTCGTCAAATAAGCCACTGGATATCGTGATTAGCACTGACAATTGCGACTGATGAACACGTAGTAGCGCGCGTAATGACATGAGGAATTTGAGCACCTCCGCGGGCGCGAAAGAAGTCGTGGGGTTATAGACCGTTGGGCTCAAAAAGTTCGGCAACACAACACGAATTATTTTCTGAGGATTTGATGATGCAGCGATCGTACTGAGCTGTGAAATGATAGATGAATAGCTCGTAGGTTCAATGTACTGCAGTATTGGGGGAGGAAGCAATCGTGTTGTGATATTCCATGTCCGGCAATATAATGCATCTGCTGAATCTTGAGAATGTGTAAGCGACGAGACTGAATTCCTATACCGCCACGCTATCTTCAAATCTTTGGCCTCTCTTCCTGGATCAGATTGCACAGAAATGGTCGTTTTATCGACCTTGTTACCCTCCACCGGCGCGGGGAGCTCGACACCCCACCTTGCACCTGCACCAACCGCAACGACTACATCTGAATTGGCCACACCTTGCGACGCATAGCACCGTGCAATCACAGACGCAAAATCCGTAGCGGAATCTTCGATTACCAAAAGCGACGTCCCGAGCGGTTGGCCCCCATGCATCAATAGTTTGTCTAATGAAGCAGTTCCTGTCGAGTGCGTAAGGTACGAAGGTATTAGCGTCGACGGGCGCGAGAATTTAGATTGTTGTGGGCATCCCGGAGTCTTAATTTGTGCTGAGGGACTCGGTGACGACGCTGACGGCGTCCGGTGTGATGTGATCGGAGTGTTGCGCTTCCGGAATGACATTGTCGTTGGTTATAAATTTCCAGTTCTAGTCTAGAGATTCAAAAAGCTCAGTGGGTTAGGGTATGGACTTAGAAGTCCAGCTCATTCGGTGGTTAGTATGCGATTTAGGTACAATGTCACAGTACTTATATGACGCAGACCCAAAAGACGCATTTATATATTATCTATATAATTATGCCAGAGTGTAGTCTAGAAGATCGTCATACGATCTTCCCTATATCACACAAATATTACAACATAAACCCAAACTCCGATACCATTCTGGTCAAACGCACTATTCATTTATCAAATCCTCAATCTCCAGTATCTCTTCCTCGTCGGTAATTTCAATCAATCTACACACGTCAGCACTATTCACGGTCTCACAAACTGAAACAGACTCACTTATTAACATCCGCTTGCGCCCGAACAATCTCCACCGCACCGGCATACAACATCTTCGCCTGCTGCGTAGCCGTCACAGGTAAATAGTATATCAGTACATACGGTGTCTTCTGCCTCCCATCCTTCGTAATCAGCGGATAACTCAGCACGATAAACCGCGGCGTATTCCCGGGTAACGAATCGCTGAGATCTCCAAGACTAGTATATAGCTCCACCGGTTGCTGCTCCTGGATCGACATGTCGGTTTTCGAGATCTCGTAGATCTTGGCTTGTAGAGTTTTTGCTCGTGCAGAACCGAAGCGGAGGTCCCGCATGGATTTTATTGTCGGCTGAGGAAATGTGTATAGTGTGGATGCCTAATATGACGTCAGGTGGATGTAATGGTACAAATTATGTTTATTAATTAGAAGTATCTTACCATTATGCCTAAATTATGTTCAAATGACTAGTCGATTTCGCTACACTTAGTCGTCAATACTGATGCTGAGCAGTGAAGTTGATGGTAAAAGTAAACTCGATCGTGACTGATGGTCAGAATGACAACAAGCTTGATGTATCACCAACGCTAAACGCGACCAGTCAAAGCCGCAGTCCACAACGCCAACGGCCCTGTATCACCCGCAACATCAATCGGCAGAATGATCATGCCGCAAATTAAAGTGCAGTCCAAAAATACACTTCATTCTCTCCTACATCGACTTTCCCAAAAAAAATTATGAAACGGACAGGAATTGAACCTGCAACCCTTCGATAAACACCAATGCTAAACTTCACTGGAGTCGAAAGCTCTACCATTGAGCCACCGCTTCAAACCTTACAATAGTGAAGCACATCATCGAATATTGTTCACAAAAGGGCCGGGTAACTAAGGGTAACTAAGGAATATCATCCCTATCTTATTAATGGTGATCAAAATAAGAGAAAAATATCTTGGAGCGGTACTATTTATATTAAAAATTAGACGTTTAATGGGAGCTTAGTAGTGGTTATTTTCCGTAGACAAACTAAAGGTTCGCAGACTCTTGTTTCAGATAATCCAAAGAGTCGTGTCGTAACGTTTTTGGCGCGTCTACGTGCGCGTTCGTTTTCTCTCATGTTCGACTATTCGAAAGGCAGCCATAATGCGATTCCGATAGCCCATGCTCTTCTCGATGAAGGTTACGACCGCAACGGAATGTCGAACGATCTCTCGCGTTTAACGAACACTTATGCGAAAAGAGCGCAGCTCTCGTATGTTTTGTCACCGGTTGGTGTAATGCGAGAGTACATCGAATGCTTATGAGCAAGCGCAAAACCTCGTAGAGAGTAAAAGCCGTAAGGAAAGAAAAGCATGGCCAGCCATGCTCAGATCGAATATTATGACGATTATGGGATCGTTGAAGATGTGAGAATGTTTATGTTTAAAATGGCATTCAAATTGTTTGCCAGGTCAGCCGAAGATCTAGCAAGCACGGGGAAGTGTTGCATATAGAGTGTTTGCAACTGTTGAATAAAGTTTCCGCTGCGACGGATACACGGATACACGGATATGAGATACACGGATACAGGGATAAACGGATATGAGATGCACGGATACACGGATACACGGATACACGGATACACGGATACACGCGTACACGCATATAGTGACTTCGTAGTTTTTTTGTACATGCACATATATAGAGAGAAGGAAAGCCTCGCCATATAAGGGAGGCTGAACAGTATATTATTCCAGACTAGTTATCTACTATTTCCCATGGACTCTACCAAAGTATTCGTCGACAATGTCGACACCTTCCTGTCGCGCATCCCCGCGATCATCGCCCAACAGGTGAGCCCTGCGGCGCCGGATGTATCGCACAGGGTTCCCACGACCAACTCACTGGTATTTCATGTACATCGAGGAGTCTGGGACGTTGTCAGTGATATGGGGGAATATAACCCAGCCGTCCTTTTAACTAAACTTACTATATCAAGCATATGCGTTAGAACCGTATTTCCTGGTATGTCACTGCGTAACAAAGGCATGTTGTTGGACAAGTCATTATATGCAGATCCGTCTAGTATCCTACTATTGTCCATATCGTCTTCATGCTCTGTATTTGATCCTTTTAACGATCCAGAATCTTATACCTACCACGTCCGTACAGTGTGCCAATTGCATATCTGAGCTTCCCCTACTGTAGTTTAGTCCTCTTATCTCATATGGTTGAATCAATAAGCCTCGATCATGTTGAAGTGTGTAGTTATATCGCGAGTCACAACCTTCAATACAGTCCAATAACATTTGTAATGCTTGGGAATCTGTGGGCTATTATAGTTCCTTAGATGTCTAGCTGCACTCCCTACAAATACCAGACAGATACTACACAAGACCAATACCCAATACTCTCATTGATATATCCATTGTCATCAAGCCCTGGGCGTATTTGCCACCCGACAGAACCACTTGGTGCTAATGTTAACCGGTAGAACACCTAGCTAATGCTAATCCCTTATAGTTTCTGTTGAATACAACCACAGTATTAATTAACTACTTGTATTGAAATCAAATTGATAGAACACCTAATTATCAAATTATTTGTAGTAGAATCCTCAATATCTGGGTTGGATTATGATGTGCAGTGCTGTAGTATACACGCACTGTACAAAATAAATTTCAGTTCGACTGACAAAGGTTCTATGTACAAGACCCCGTCATAGTACAAATATAGAGTTATATAATAAACCTTACCCAACTCTTCGCAGACAGCGCTACTCCCAACGGTAAACTCCCAATGTTGCTCTCATATATCACGCGGCCGCAACAAGCACCAGGTCCTTCGTTGGGGATCGCCGGATCTAATATGCACGCCAAATTCTGACAAGAATCGAATAGTATATAGTTTTATTTTATTAATACTATGAATATGACCGACAGCTTATTTCAAAGATCGGACGCCAAGAAGCCGGGCTACTGCTCAGGCGCACGCTACCGTTTCCGCCAACCCGCAACCCAGGCAGATAAATATGGTACGCACGCAATTTCCTTGCAGCGTTTCCTGCTCGTCGATGCACGACTTTCGAACAAGGACCGACGCGATCTGCAAGCCGCCTTGCAGCATGTTAATGTTGGATCTTTTATTGCGGGCGGTGCAGTTTCTTGGAACTGTGCTGCGTCAAGTAAGTCATGTCGATACACTGATTGTTGTGGATGTGAAGAGTAAGACTAATGGTTTCAAGCATTTAATTACTCTGGCCTATTTTTGAAACTCCTCGGCAAATCAACTGTAGGCTTTCTGGGTTTCTTCGCCGGTCTGAACCTCGGGCTGGTGCTCGGCTGGGATGTTGTGTCATACCAATTTCAGAATCGCGCGACGTGTCGGGCAGCGATGGGATTGATTCGCGAATATCCGATTATTTCCGCGTGGGAGCGATATTACGGTGGTGATCGCGATGCTATGACAAAGATAGTACCATCCCCACTGCGTAAAACGGATGGAGTTCAGGAGGTTGGAGGGAGTGAGACTGTAAAAGATGCGCTTGACACTTTAAGATCCCAGGATTTGGAATCTGTTGCGGCACGGTTTGAGATACTGGTCACTGAATACGAGGCTCGGCTCCGAAAGTTATGGACAGAGAACGGCAACCCCCGGATTGCGGGCATAGGGGCCCGCGCCCAGGGATTGGCGTTTGATTCAAGGGAGTTGGCGTGTAGATTCATGGATTCCTATGCAGTGTACTTATCAAACGATTTTCGTCGTCCGTTTTTTGATGGCTCGTTCGCTTAGGGGTCGTCGATACAGTTGTAGTGGGGAGTTTGGTACGGATCGGAGTTATATTCTGTCGTTTAGCCTTTGTTTTGGCGGCCTGGATCAAAGATCTGGCTATGGAATATTGTACGATTTCTTGAATAGACTTCAGAGCATATCTAATTGATATAACGTATATCACGTAGTATAATGATAGTGGGAAGCAAGGGCTTATACTTTGATCTAATCACCCACATATCCAGCTAGTTGCTGAGCATTGCCGAGAGTGTCCAGTACGTTCGTGTGATGTCAGTAATGGGCCTGCAGAGGACCACACAAGACATGCAGTGTCCATTAGACAAGATTTCACGCAGATAATCAATCTCAACATGTACAGGCATTGTTTGAGCATCTCCAATGCCTATAGTGTATTTGAGATTCTGGAGGGTATTTTTGCGGGATCATGAGTTCCGTCCTGTATGGTTTTTGCTAGAAATTGTTGCAGAAGCTCTTCATTTGAAGCATCCGGTACAGTACCTAATGCGGACGGACCGAGACGACGAATTCTGCCAGTTCCGACCTGTCGTGACTGAGCAAGTGCTGCGTGTTAAGCCGAATGAGTCATCTCATGGCCGTCGCCGACCTCTTCCATGAGGATCTACATTACATTTCTCTTCATCTTCTGCAATTAACGCTATCGACATAGCTCGCTTTAGATACAAAATGTAGATTATCCTACATCGTCTTCAGTACTTCTCAACCCTTACCCGATGTTGACTGCGCTATATGGCGTCACCATCGCGTACCGGCATATTTAATAATGCAACAACGTTAGCATTTTGTTCCTATCAGTCTGAGATTAAAAAAAATCCGCTAACGTAGTTAACTGCGATATATATTTGCAGTTATTTCGCAAATTGACGAATTTGTGGTTTAACAAATCTCTCGGGTACAAATAGACATGGATTATGGAATATTACCCTGCCTTCCCAATTAGGCTAAATGCCCTGACTGAGACAAACTAAAGAGGAAACGGCTTAACGCTGCATTTATTGAGGTATGGAAACGAGAGTCGAACAGTAATGAAAGGTTCGAGAAATTATGCGTGCAGAAATCTATGCGTACTGAAAGAGAATCAAAATGATCATAATCATTAACAATTGGATTCCAGCGCAATATCTTGGTATCGGGAGCCATAGATACTGCTCAGAACCGATTGATGATATATGAATAGAGCTAAAGTCAGATAGATGGTGCGCGAGTGGATGGCGTGTCTCGTGGCCCGGTCAGTAGCTGCGTAGTGCATGCGGTAACAATAACAAGGGTAGTCTTAAGTACGGTAAGGCGAGCGTCATATGACGAACTAAAGTCATAAAGTGTGGCTGCGGAAGCAAGGGATGGGCCAGGATGATGCTTCTGGTGTTCTACGACAGCTGTCGACGGGTTCCCCCTGTCGGCCGACCATTGCGTGCGTTGCTTCCTCGGTGCTTTGTTCATGCGACCATCCCCAGTCCCAGTCGCTCCGGGGCCGCCGAAGAACGCACAACGCCCGACGTCGAAGAAGTTGCGCCGCCGCGTGCCGAGTCTGAGTTGAGTTAGATCCATCACGCGGTGCCAAGTGACTAAACGCGTGCGTGGTGTCTCGAGGAATAACTGCCTATATTACTGCCTTGCTGCCACAATAACAATAATTATGATGATGGAAATTAGAAAGAAATAAATAAATAAATAAATAAATAAATAAATAAATAGTGCGAACAAATGCAAGTGCGAATCTGCGCTTGTTCCCCCTGCCCCGGTTCTCACTGCCACGCTTCAATGCCTCCCAGCCAGCAAAACGCACGCGCGCCCCAGAAGTCCGTCCGCAACGCCCGACGCCTGCCTGACGGCGCCTTCCTTTCCTTACTCCCACCCCCGTCCCGAGGGCCTCATTCTCCTTTCTTTCTTCCTTCCTTCCTTTCCCTCCTCTCGCCTCAGCACGCTCACAAGATTCAACTCTGTGCAGCGATCGATCCTCTCTCACTCGTCTTCTACGTCAGTTTGCGCTTCTACACCAACTGAGCTGAGCCTGATTCCCCCCCTCTCCCCGGTGACTCGAT